CATTCCCAGCCTACTTCATCAAACCAAAATGTGTTCATCATCTTTTTGTCATTTTGACAATATCTGAAAAGAACAATTTGTTTTAAATTTAATGTTTTATTTGTCACATGGTTATGGATGGCTCAGTCCAAGGAGTCTCTGACTCCATTTTTCTAGAATATGGTAAAGAAGAGTATCATGAGAGAAGGGCTGGACTCAGGAAGTCTCCTACACTCATGGCAGCCAGGAACAGAGAAGAAGACCGTGGGAGGAGTCAGCAACCAGGCATGCCCTTCAAGTGGCCTCCTTCTTCCAGCTAAGCCCTGCCGCCTTTGTTTCTACTACATCGTAAAATAGAGCCACCAAATAGGACCCAAATATTCAGCACAAGTGCCTGTGAGATATATTTCACATTGAAAATGCAACACAAAGATTTTATTTATTATAAGGCATGAAATATTTCATGCATTTCTGAGGAAATCTACCCTAAAAGGTGACTTCTCATAGCAAGTCTAATGGTGACCTGCAAAAAGCTGGAGTGCAAACACTTGTGAGAGTAAAGAGCTTGAAACCAAGGCCAGACTGGGGAAACAAACGAAGCACTTCTGTACCACTGAGCATTCCACAGCTCATTTCTTTACTGGCCTCTTGCTGTGCAACTAACGTCATATCAGACTAGAGAACAAAGTGACAAGCAGAAAGCAGATGCCTTGGTGAGTATGAACATGATGTATCCAAATCGAAAAAATCAAAACCGATCAAAGCAAGTACATCCAGTCATCACCCAAAGAGGCGCTTCATTATGAATGAGATGGTGCGCAGAAATAGTGCCTGGCATAACTGTGAGAACATCTTCCTCTGTTTGTGCTAAAGTAAGATTCCATCAGTTGCATAGCTCAGAAAGAGTGGACTGGCCTCTCAGCTCTGGAGAGGCTCAAGTCAAGATGAGGGCTGTCGTGATCCTTGAGTTGAGCTGCTTCTGCTTCCAAGATGCGGGAAGGAAGATCAAGTAAGACACAGGCTGCGGCAGCCTCTTTAAGTGGGACTTGAATCCCTTTAAAAGGGAGGAGCCCTCAAGACGAATTTACCTCCTGATGGCATCACAATGGCCACTAAGTTTGTTTCTTTTCTTTAAGAGGAGTAAAACATTTGCTGTGATTGCAAATGCTGTAGTGGAAGAGAAAAAGATGCTCTAGAGAGAGGAAGGGGAGCTATAGTTAGCTGTGCCTGGGAAGGTGTCGGGGGAGAAAGGATGGACAAGTCAACAGCAAGGACTGCTGGGAGTCAGCGAACACATTTTCACTTCGGGTATGTGGAAATGTTATTCTAGTTGCTTTTTTTCTAAGTGAAATAAGAACAACTTTTCAGCAGAAGTTAAGGAGTTAGCAGGGGTTATTGGAAATTTGAAGAAAAAGGAAAAGCTAGAATGACTCATGTGAAAGTCATGGACAGTTGGTTCATTGATAAAGGAATGTGGTGTGGTTTCCAGCCATCCTGAGGAATGTACTTGGAGTGTAGGATTATAACTGTAAAGGACAACCAGACATCTGGCTTTTATGTGTGCTTCGATAGATGGAGGGATAGAGCAGGTGTGAGGTGTGTCTTATCAGACTTGTGATTTTGTGTGAGTACATAAGAAGGGAAGGGACCCCATGATGGAAAATGTGTAAAGGACTGAAGGTTTGTGCATCTTCAGAGATTGTGTATTGAAAATTTAGCTCCCAGTCACTGGACATAAGGTTATAAGTCAGTGATAAAGATTATGTGAGGTTCTTAGGGCCTTAACCCAATCGGGCACTTTAATGAAGAAAAAGGACACCACTGTGAGTGCCGAGGAAAGGCTGTGTGGAGACTGTAGGGAGACTTCTTTAAGGATGAGTGCCCTGACCAGACAAAGGGCAGGGTGACGGTGTGGCAGGGTGATAGTGTGTGAGAAGATGTAAATGTAGTGATGACTTGAGAGTCTGAGCAGGATAAGAAGAAACCGAGCAGCCGGGCAGTGGTGGTGCATACCTTTAATCCCAGCACTCAGGAGGTAGAGGTAGGCAGATCTCTGTGAGTTTGAGGCCAGCCTGGGCTACAGAGTGAGTTCCAGGAAAGGAGCAAAGCTACACAGAGAAACCCTGTCTCGAAAAGCAAAAAAAAAAAAAAAAAGAGAGAGAGAGAGAGAGAGAGAGAGAGAGAGAAAACCAAGCATGGCAGCTGATAAATTCTGAGCTGCAAAATTAAATAAGGTCAATGAACTAGAAATGGGAGGTGAGCTCAAGGTTCATCTGGGAAAGTAGATGCTTACTTCTCATAAAAATCATGAAGGTGACGTGGTCGGTCCCTGACGACAGTCTAAAAGGAACAGTGTAAACACAATACAGATTTACTAACGGCAAGCATCAGAAAGTGGAGAAATCAGGATACTGAATGGATTGTCTGAGTACTGCACGATAACTCCTTCAAAGACAAAAGCCTTGAGGAAGGGCTGAGTGTACGGCTTCTTGGCAGAGTACAGCAAAACAGAAGGACTGGACATAAGAATAAGGGAATACATTTGAGTCATTTTTCAAAATGATACCTTCAGCAATTGGCCATGAACTTAAATGAAATGGAGGAAGGATGGAGAAGGAGCCAGGAGAGAGAATTCATTGGCCTCTGACGTAAGCTAGTGGAGGGACCATGTGTCATTGCCATGTTAAGGAGATTGGGAAATCAGTAGATTGATGTCTGAATAAATGACTAGAAGTGCCTTGAGGCATCCAAGTGAATCTTCAAAGGAGGTAGCTGATATTAATATCACATGGTTAACTGAGCCATAATTTATTTATCATTTTTATAGAGCTAGCTTATTATTTAGATAATTAGCAGTTTTTATCATTGTAAATTAAATATGACCTTTACACAGTGGCTTGTAGACACAGTTAAAGCTGTGTCGGGGAAAGTACTCTTTAATAATTCAGGGTGTAGATGCTTTCCAAAAGTTCTACATAGATGCAGGAAGGTTATTTTACAGAAAGTTTATGTCCATCTTCTACAAGCATCATATGAATGCGAAACTCCTTTATAGCATACAATGGAAATGGCAACATACGACTTACCGCTGGGCCTTCCATCTGTTTTTATTTGATTAATAATCATGTTCAGTACGTAGTGGTCATTGGTTGCTCTTTTCTTTGTGCTATGTAAACATGCCCTTTACTCATAAAGCAGTTTTTATTGAACTGCAAAAGAATGGTGGTAGTTACTGCAGAAAATACAAAGCAAAGGGTGGACCTTGTTCAGAAGTTTGACTGGAGACGGATGGAGGCACCTGAACAGTGCTTGTGGAAGGCGCTTTGCTCGTGGGTTATGTTTACCATGCCTTATCTTCATTTCTTTATTCAGTGACTTTTCTTGCGTTTATCGTGATCTTTTCAGAATTCTCCACTAATCTTAAAATTTCAGTGTTTATTACTTTGTGTTATTCATTAACAGTTTCTTTTTCTATAATAAAGTCTGGAGAAAGTATGAGTGATTTAAGGAAAAGGGTGGGAGATGAGTTTATCATCATCCCTAGAATTTAATTAGTGAAATATAATTTAGCTTCTTAGTCCATTTTCTGCTGCCATAACAAAATACTACAGACGAATACATAAATAATACAAGGCCATGTAACCTTGACTTCCGGAGGCAATGCTCGCATATGGTCAAGTTGTAATTCTCAGTCACAACATAAGGAAAAGGCAAGAGAGAGGGAAAAATCAGTCTAACTGATCCTTTTCATCAGCAACTCACTCTGTGCATCTCTAACCCACTCCCTCAACTACAGCATGAATCTGCACACAAGGAAAAAGCCCTCATGAAAAAGTTGCCATGTTAAGGTCCCACTTCATAGTAAAGTTGCACTGAGGGTGGCATTTCCAATCACAGAAAGTTATCTTTAAATGATTGCAATTTCTAATTCGTCTCTAAAATCATTATTATATGCACTCACCAAATATATAGTAAATTTACCCATTGAATATAATTATCATAACAAAGAGTGATCATATGCATGAAGGTCAAGGCAGGATGATGTTTTGATACCTTTATGATTTCAGGTAAATATTTAGAAGGAAAGTTCTTGAGGCATATTAAAATTATTTCAGAAGTTATGGATTGTGTGTTAAGGAAATATTCTTTTTGGAGCATACTCCTTGAATCATAGTTAAGTGAAAAGTGGTGTGAACTGTGTGATAAACGATTATTTTTTGTATCAGACAAACCATCATTCCTAAGTGAACGGCTTTCCAAGGATTTATAGCTCCTGCCCTCATGCTGGAGTCTCTTCAGCTTTCTGTGATGCATTTCCGCTAACCTGGAGGTTAAGGCATTTCTTGATCATAGCTATATCTAACTGCTGCTCAGCTCTGGAATTCTTTATAAAATTCCAGAACTTGGGCTAAAAATTGACTTAGGGAATCCAATAAACTCACAAGCCTTGGCAGTCATCCAAGCTAAATTTATAGACTGGAAGAAATATGGGCTTTCCATTGTTCTCTTTTTCACCTTTCTGGGGTTTCTTTTGTGTCTATGTGCGTGTGCAAGTGTAAATTTATCATTTTGCTGACATTGGAGTGGAAATAACCATTGAGAGGACCCAGGTCAGGAATTTTCACTTTGGATCTTCCCCTGTCTTTCCAAACTTTGACCCAAACCTGCACCAAGACTGAATTTCTCTCCCTGTAGGATGTTGATGTGAGAAAATAAGAGGTTGTTCTTGCAAATGAGTTGTGCAAGTCTAAGAGCTGAGATAACTGTCTGCCAGTCACATACAACTCTCAACTCTCTGTTCTTCTGGCTCAGTGTGGGTCTGTTTGAGACGGAATCTGAGCAAATGTGATCCTAAATGTTGTCTCAGTTGACTCTGTCACATGGTGATAAGGGCAAGAAGACAAGCTTGGGTGTGTCTAAGAGACATCAGTCTTCTTTGTGTGTCTGTGATGCTATGTAAGCTGCAGAGACCCAATCAGTATCATTATCCCTGCTACTGAAAACCTGTCTTGTGCTTCCAGAATGGGTTTGCTGTTGTGAGGCCCCCCGGCCATCATGCTGAAGAATCTGCAGCCATGTAAGTACCGGGACCCACTGCCATCTTCACGTGCCATGGTTCCTGGCAGTCACCTGCCCTGGGCATGTTTTTGAAGCCTCTGATTGTTAACAGATGGACTGAAAACTCTCGAGAGGTACTCCCAGAAGCAGATTTATGGCTTCAGAGATCATATAGCATTTAAAAAAATGCTCTGAACATTATTTATAATGGTTTTCCTGGATGATTTGCCTTCTTATTTCTCTGTTCTTCTCTATTCCACAGGGGGTTCTGCTTTTTTAATTCAGTTGCAATTACCGCCAAATACTTGAGAGACCAACTAAATATAAGCAAGATATTGATTGTAGATCTGGTATGTATGCCTGGCCAGGGCTGCATTTTCAGTCACTCTAGATAAAAGGGAGTGGATGCGTGTTTCTCTGTAAGGTTGTCTTGCTTTTAGCACTTGCAAACAACTGAAGGGTGTGTTTCCTTTGAATGTGGAAACTCATTAAACTCAGGATTGCAGTTCTGAAACCATAAACATTCACGTTTCACTTTCATGGTGTTAACTGCAATTTAATGAGAAGAAGGCGCAGATCAGGGCAACTTTTATGATCCTTAAATGAATTGATACTTCCACAGTTAAAATGACCCAACAGAACCTGAATTTACTTTTCCCTACAGAATATAGACTTTAAATAGTCAGATGTGCTGGAAGGAGTGCTGTTGCCTTGGTAACCAATTGGCCACTTCCCCTGGTTAGCAATCGTGTCCCTTGTTGTGCAATACTGGTATTATTAAAACAAGTCAACATGTCATTCTTTGTGAAAAGATCTCAGGTCTCAGATGCCAGTTTGGGATGACTCCCTGCAGGAACCCTGAGTGGTTAAAGGTCAGAAGCATTGATTCATCTTGCATTTTAGCACGATGCGTTCTTACACAATAGTTATAATTTGTTTAACAAATGGTTTGTTTAAATGCAGATGACACTTGGCAGGTTGTCTAAAATGTATTCATGAATAATGAGCTGGAGATCTGCCCCATCCAGAAAGGACCAGCCCAGGAAAGGTTGGCGAGGGAAAGCCAATGGTGATTTATGAGCCTCCTTTCCAGTTTGCCTGCACTTCACCAGGAGGTGTAATAGGTTGTCTGACAAAGCATAGACAGGAAATGAACCCTGGCATCCAAGCCAAACCTACTGCATCTGCACTTAATTAATTTTTGCAGGTGATAAAAGATTTAAAGGCAAAAAATGCTAGAGGTTTTTTTGAAGTGCAAGACTTAATAGTTTAAATCTTGTTCATATCTGCACTCATAATTAAATCTTATTGGAAGTCATGACATCAACCTTCAGCCCTCAGATTTAGTTAAGTGGGCACCCCCAAAGGGTGGAGAGACCACTAACAAAGTCATGTAAAAATATTTACATGAAAATGAAGAATTTACAAAAATGGAAGATTGACGAACACTTCTATTGCTTGGTTAGAATAGATATTTTTCATACTGTGGCTTTTCTGCAGGCATTCTCATGTGAAAAATATTGCATTCTAATTTTCTGTGTATTTTCCAAGCATGCTTATGTTTCAAAGTAGGTCATAGTTCACTGTTAAATGGGCTGTGTTGAAGGCTAGAGATATAACACTGCAGAGTTGTTGTAACTTTGCATGAATGAAGACATCTATACCTGTTTTCTCAAATACATTCAAAATGATGTTTTAAGTAATTAATAATTTGCATGCATTTTAATATAGTACATTTCTAAAAATCAGTATTCTTGTATTTTTGTAAGTATGAGGTTAGAGAGATAAGCCCAAAAATTTGGAGAAAAAAAAATGGCAAATGAAGATCCAGAAATTTTGGGGGTGGGCAAGGTGATTGGTTTGCTGTGTTCTTCTTTAGAATCACAGGCTATTCTAACTGTATAGATATCTATTGAGCTGTATAGTCTTTGGGTCTCACTATAGAGATAATCTGACTTGATTTGTAAATTGATTAACTTGGTAGCTCTAAGAGTCAGTTTCCTATAAGCTGCTGACCTTTGATTGATTGTGATTTACTTCATTATCCAATTCATATAAAGGATACTCCTTTCCCAATAGGCTCCCACAGATGAGAAGTTTTTGTTTGAGATCCTCTCAGTGTATGAAGTCCTGTCCAGAGGGTGACCGCCACCAGCCCACACGTTCTTACTTTCTAGTCTTCCAAGCTATGCAGTTGCAGGGTACTTTGTGGAAATTCCTGTTTCTTCCAGCAACTGAGAAGGAAGTTTTCATAGGCCGCAGATGTGGAGACACCCACTCTCCCTGGCCCATCAGTCTGCTCTGCAAGTTACAGCGAAATGATGGAGATTCTTCAGTAGGAAAACGTCTTCATCCCTTCACTAGCCACAGAGGCTCTGGGGCCCTTAAAAATAGTCTTTCTCTATTGTCTAATAGCTAGTTTGGGTATTTTTATATCCAAGTAAATATAAAGCCAGAGCTGCAACTCACCTTCTGTTTGGGCCAGGGCCTAATTCAGAGGTGTTTTACATGTTAGACAGGTATGATTTCAATTATTTATGAAGTCTTTTCTTTCTGTCTCTGATGTGCTGATCAGTATGGAAAGGAAGTAGGTTTATTTGCCTTTCCATTTTCAAGAGCACAGCATTGTGTTCTGGGTAGTAGCATGTCCATGGAGTAGGCTTTCTTGCTTGAATCATATAGACTTTAGGTAATGTGACCCAGAAGGCAATTTGGAAAGATTACAATTCTCCTTAAGTTCCTCTTTTTTTTTCTTTATAACACAAAGGTTACTTCAAATGTCCTTATGTTTTAGGAAATTCCATTGTTGATCAAAAACATTTAGACCTTTGTCTCCATGTAATAAATAATTATGAAGGATAATATTAACTGGCAGAATGAATGATTTATTCAAAGCCATTTTAGATAAGAATAAAATATATAGGTTCTAAATTTTTATAATGCATCTCTTTTTATAGTATATCCTTTAACCAGTAGAGTATTGATATGCATTTTTCATAGTTCTAAGTACATTTTAGATTCAATATCTATCTTAAGACTTTGATAATTCATTATATTTTTATGGTAATGTCTCATAGGCACAAGTAAATTTATTTCTTAGTCTGATATATATTTGTTGCCATGGAGAAGCAAGTTCAGATAGTTCCTGAACAGTTGTTAGTTTGAATGTTTTGTGACATGGAGGCTGGAGTTAAGTATCAGAAGGCACTCTCAACCCTACACTCTAAGTCATTACCCCACACAGATTACATGTGTCCATAGTTATCTCTAAGGACTTGGCAAATAAATACAGAATCCAGAATTGCTCAAGGATTAGGATGGATTTGTGTATTTTTGTAAATAATGTATGTGGGGTTTGTTCTTTCATTTCGCTGTGGACAAGATGCATTTCTTACAGTGTGTGCACTAACAAGCACCTCACACAGTTTTGAAGAGCAGATGATTTTGTACCAGGGAAAAAGTATCCTTTTTCATCCCCCTTCTTCTTAAATAAACTTTTCCAATGTCACTAAAGAAGTAAGAATAGTCAAAGCAGTGTTTTTCTCTGCTTTTCCACCTCTGGACTCTTATATCCAGAACAAAGTTTGTCTTACAATCCTGACTATTGCTCCTGGAGGGAAGCAGGGATGACCCTCTACTGTTGTTTTCTTTGGAGTTATTTTGGTTTTGTTTGTTTTTTAAACATAGTCTAGATAAGTAGTAGCTAGTATAAAATACATTGTGGCTTAAATTGTTTCCTTTTTTACATAAAAAATAATTTTACTATCTTTCCCTTTCTTTTGAATATTCAGAAATCTAGTAATTAATATATTTTCAGCAAGTTATATATTTTTTCTGATGCATTTGTGTTTGGCTAGAGCAAATTTCTGAGATGATTCCTATCTGCCTGAGTAGTATGATTCTTTAATTACTTTTGGATAAGTGTGACATGCAAAGCACAGCGGGATTACCGTATGTAGACACCATGGATAGCAAGCTCAGTGGAGGTTTTCAGCATCAAGGAGGCTTTGAAAGTGTCTAGTGGAATTGGGGGCTGGAGATTGGAGAAGAAAAAGGTTCTGTCAACCTCAAGGAGGATAATTAGTTTCCAAAAAAATTCACTTCATAAGCTTTCTAAAAGTATTAGAAAAATAAGATTATAATTTAGCTTTGCAGTAATGAGTGGATTCAAGAACCAGTTTCACAATGTGCTTCCTGTCTATCGATTCTTAGTAATTATGGAAGCTCTTTAAGTATCAGTTGTCTTATTTTTAGAGTAGAGATATAACATGTGTCCTACCTATATAATTTTTAATTAATCCAATGTGTTTAATAGTGTGTTCACTTAACAGTGGTAGGAATCATTGTTTAAAACAGTGAAAATCTTACTGATATAAAACAAAGCCCAATGTATTTAAATAGCTACAAGTTTACAAAGCTCTTTATAACTATGTAAGTGAATAATGTAACAATAATACTTCTCCGCATAAAATATGTAGGTCAGCATTCATTAGCAGCCTGCTTCTTTTTCCTCAGGAGGTATTGAGTGTATTAACTGAAGTCCTTAATACCTGAATTTGTTTTAATAAAGATATTTTAAAAATGTTACTCCTTTTATTGTTTCCATGAGTAATGTCAATTGTGACATTTATCTATATTAAAAGTAGAAGAACCATCAAAATTTGAATCATTATCATCTGCAAATGTCCAAAAATAATTTACTCATTCATTGATAATAGGATTTTGGTGGTGGTGGGGGGGACAGGAAGTTGGAGAGCTGTAGGAAAGACAGAAAGATGAGGAAGGAAGCTGGGACGAGGCCATGATTCAATCAGTATCTGTGAGACAGACTGGACTGGATTGTGTAACTCCCTGTGCCATCTTCCTGCCTTGGCCCAAACGACTTAGCATTTAATGAGCTCGTGCTCCTGTTGCTTCTACTCTTGCTGTTATGATTTTAGCAAAATGTAGTGTGAAGTCCTTTTCCCATCTGGCATCTTTTTTGAAGTGACTCTAGCTGCTGAGGGATTGCTAACTGAACTGAATGCTTCAAGAAAGCCAATTTATTCAGCTGGTTGCAAAGCCTTTGACCTTAATGGTGGGACTTGGCAAATCAAGGCATACACGTATGGTTTAGTGTTCTGTCAAGAATTGTGAAAATGCTCTGTAACCCATAGATCCTCCTGAAAAAGACTAGTTTGTAGTTTAAACATTAGTCTTTTTTTTCCAGAGGCCAATGAGGCTAGTTAATTAAGCCTGAGGGGTTATGAACTGTTGGCAGTTAATAAGTCATAAAATTCCTCTATAAAACAGGATGCAGGATTCCATCACTGAGGCAGAGAGTACAAAGCGCCGATGTATAAATATCTAATTGTACCGAAGGACTGGGCTTTCTCAGTGACTGCTCATCTGGAGTCTCCAGGGCATGCTCGCTGTGGTTTCCTGATTTTTAGAAGCCAGTTTTTAAAAAAATGAGAGCATTAAAGGGTAATTTGCCTGAAAGTTCAGGAAGTAAAGGGGTGGTGTAGAAGTAGGCTGAAAGGGAGAACGGGAAAGACGAGCGAAAAGACAGAAAATGAGAAGGGTGGGGTGGGAAGAGAGGGAACCAGAGACGAGGAGAGCCGTGTCCAGAGTCAGATGTGCCGGTGTTTGTCATCTGTTCCCTTTTCCCTGTAGGATGTTCACCATGGAAACGGTACACAGCAGGCCTTTTATGCTGACCCCAGCGTCCTGTACATTTCACTCCATCGCTATGATGAAGGGAACTTTTTCCCCGGCAGCGGAGCCCCGAATGAGGTTCGGTTTATTTCTTTAGAGCCCTGCTTTTACTTGTATCTCGCAGGTAATTGCGTTGCGTGATTACCCCTAATTTTCTTGTCCTTTGCTGGTGTTTTAAATTACACCAGATTACCCACTTGTCCCACAGGACCAAGAACCAGTGCAGAACAAGTGCATAACCCAGAGCGCTGGCTGTCAAGCAGAGCTGATTTGACGCTGTGTTTGATGTTTATTTCAAGAGCTCCCATGTGCTTGTTTCCCACTTTTTGTTTCTTCCCTTTCCTCCCTTCTCTACCCACAGCGGTGTGTTTTTCTGTTCCCAGGTTGGAATAGGCCTGGGAGAAGGCTACAACATAAACATTGCCTGGACAGGTGGCCTTGACCCCCCCATGGGAGATGCTGAGTACCTCGAAGCCTTCAGGTTGGTACTTCTTTCTCTCTGAAAGTGTCACATTAAAAAATACCAAATGTGAAAGAGAAATGTAAATTCTCCACAAAGCCATGTGGAGATACGCATAAGAAAACAAGGCTCATGGAGAACTAGCTGTGTTTATAGAGGTATATTGGCGAGTGACTGCGTTTCCCTCTCACAGAAAAAGGAGAAAATTTGTTATTAACTGACTTTGTCTGGAAACTTGTGCCTGTTATAATAGGTGAAGTGGTTTACAATAGACATTCACATAGTAAATGCTCTGAGAAGACCTTTAATACCTATGTAATTTTGTAGAGCAGCATTTCCCAAGCTAAAATCCCTTTGGAATTCTCAGAACATTGGCCTGGGATAGCCCATCTGATAGCAAAAGACTTTTGTTTATTTCCTGCTCACTTTAAAATATTAGCCAATTGTTTGTTTTCAGCTAATTTAGGAGTAAATTCTGCCACTTGTGTTTTCACTAAACAAAGACTGACAGCTAACTCAAACAACAAATACAGTCTTGTGTTCTGTCTACATCTCACTCATGGTCTATCTCTCTGTCTCTGTCTTTCTGCCCCCTTCATTCCTTCCTCCGCCTCTGTGAAATTTTAAAAGGAGCATTTCTTTTCTAGAATTAAAGACCAAAACAATCCAAGTTCTTTGGAAAGGTCTGTTTAAGGAGAAATCACACATCATCCCCATGTGAGCTTCAGCTTGCAAGACCCGGAGGTTTAACTCACTGGTGATGCAGAGCTTCCTACATGTTTTGTTAAGTTAACAGCAAAAACCATACAACTGCATGAAAACAAACATGAGAGGTATTTATAGTTCTGAAATTTACCATTTATAAATTCCCCAAAAGAGAAGTCCTCTGTAATATGGCTGAGCAAAGAGGAATTCCAGAGAAAGTTCCAGTAAGTGACACTGGCAAGTTCCTGTCTTCTCTGTGTCATGCATTTTTCCTTTTCTCATGGAAAGGTCACATGTTAGAAAAAAGGTCCACAGAACAGATAAAAAAAGTAGCTACTTGTAAAATAGCAATTCTTGACTTGGTATTTGGTACACAAAAGAAAATTCTACCCACATTTTAGATGCACACTTTGGGAAAAAATATACACAAAGGTGTCCACAGTACTTAGAGAAGCAAAAATAGGAACAATTTTACTATAAACTTAGGCTGTATTTGAAAATTTTTGCTTTATTTAGCAGCAAGTTTAAAATATTATTTAGGAGTAATTATCATCATAAAGGAACTCTAAGAACTTTGTAGATGTTAATATTATTAACATATAAAAATATAAATAATAAAAAGATATAACATATATAAATAACTGTATATGCTAATAACATTAACACATATAAAGTTAATGTGGTTTCACAGCACACATTTAATTATCAGCTCTATGTAGATATGAATCTTGTATGCACAGTGGTAAAGGGCAGTTTATATTTTGTTCCTATTTATACTCACATCAAAAAGTGAAGGGTAGATGAGTTTGTTTCCTTTGAACATAATTTCATTTAATAATATAAAAACAGATATTAAGTGTACTTTTTTATTTTGTCATTGAAACAGTAGGTGAATCAAGAAAGGCACTATGTTTGCTTGGAAGTCGGCAAGTTATATTAGTAAATTGTTATGAACTCCCCAGTTCATTGTTACCTGATTTTAATTATACAAGTGGCCTTATATACTACTGCAGGAATTAAAAACTGTTCTACATAATATTCATAGTTATTTAAGAACCATATTTTAAACTATAAGAGTTAAGTGAAAACTATTATTAGTTGAAAATCTGTCATGGCTATTTTTTAATGTTTATGCCTGGAAATATTTGTGAATTTGTTTTGAATGAGTCAAGAAAGTAAGCAATTCATTCAAAAAACATTTCTTAAGCACACTTTATGCATGGACTGTGGTGCTTGGAGTTCAGGGCTATAGGCATTATCAGAGAAGCAGAGTGTAACTGTTGTGGTGCCCACATGGCTTAAGCAGAGAGGCTGACTCTCCCTGAAAGGTCAGGGAAGGCTGAACTGCTCAGCCTTTTAAGTACGAGTGGAAGCTTGCTGCGGGAAAAGGAAATTGCCCATGTGAGGGTGAAGGTAGATCTACACTAGTCAGAGTGAAAAGACTTCATGAATGGTGTGGACACATGAAATGGTCTGTCATTGTTACTCAAGGGCAGGAAGGGACATTTGTAGAAGGTGAATGGATTGTAATTCATAAAGTCTTTGGCCCTGCTCTATGAATTTGTTTGGCTGTCTGTGGTAGTTTGAACAAGAATGGCCCCAACAGGTTGAAATGTTTGAATATTTGGTTTCCAGTTAGTGTCTGTTTGAGAAGGATTAAGAAGTGTGTCCTTGGTGGAGGAGGTTTGTTATTCAGGGTGAGCTTTGAAGTTTCAAAAGACTCATACCTTTTTGAGTCTAGTTCTCTTGGCCTCCTCCTTATGGATCAATATGTGAACTCTCAGATGGTCCTGCCACTATGCTTTTGCTCCACCATCAAGGACTCTAATGCTCTGAAGTTGTCAATTTAGTTAAACTTTTATAAGTTACCTTGATCATGGTGTTTTACCACAGAAATAGAAAAATAGCTAAGAAGTTGGTACAGGGTTGCTGTGACCTTGTAATATTCTGGATGACTGTGAAAGGCTTTGGTACTTCCGACTAGAAAAAGAGTTGAGCGCTATAAACAGGGCTTGATGGGCTGCCTTTTAGGAGCCTGGAGGACAGCAATAAGAACTATGGACTGTGGAAACCCCACTCCAGGGCCTTCAGAGGGAAGTAAGGACTTCAACAGCTGCTGGGCAAGAGTGTAAAGAATGTAGTTATTCTGCCCTTGTCCCAAGAATTTGCCTGGGGTTAAATTAAAAATTAATGAGCTAATTTCTTTGGTGGAAATTTCAAGACAGCCTAATATTGACTCTGTCACATGGTTATTAGTAATCACTCATATATAGATCTACAATGAAAATGGCAAGTACGACAAAAAGAAACATAAAATGTACCATTTGAAGACAAAGAGAGAATTAGGGATTAATATTGGAGTGAAGGCTTGGGCCAAAAGAGATGAGGTTAAGGAGAAGCCTTATATAAAATGGAATAAAGGGAGGAGTGGGAGCCCTCAGGGCAAAACCCCACCCAGATAAACTTTCAACATGAAAGGAAAAGGCCTAAGGAATTTTCTGCTCCTAAAAACTACAACAAAGAAAAGCTTTTACAAATGTGACTCAAGGGGGCCAGGCTGCATCCCAAGCCAGAATACCAACTTGACAGCATTCTCTCTTTGGTTCTGGCTTTAGAGTCGTGAAGGATACGCAGATTGTAGAGTCTTCCTCCACAGTTTAGGAGCACCTCTGAGGCCAGGCAATGTGTTGCAGGGCAGTCCCTGAATGAAGGCCCTAAGAAAATAAAGGTCCTGGAGAAGCCATTACATGAAACTGTGAAAGTGAAACCTAGGATGTGTTGGAGACTCCAATGTGTTGAAGATGTCAGAGCCATGTGATATCTGCTAAGCAGAGCAGAATACAAGAAGTAGAAAGAGCCCAAAAGACAGAAGTGTGTTTTTGGCAGCAAAGCTGGAAGGGCAGAGTGATATAAGCCCTTTGACTTTGGACATGGAGCTACAGGATCTGGTATTTGCCTTGAGCTTTGGTCTTGCTTTAATCCAGTATTTCCTCACTATGCCGCTCTTCCTTCCTTTTGAAGTGATAATGTTTGTTATGTGCCATTGCATGTTAGAAGTATGTAATTTGCTTTTTAATGTACAAGGAGTAACAAGAAGTTGCCTTGAGTGTCAGAAGAGATTTTTTTACTTTGGACTTTTAGACACTGTTGAGACAGACATGTATGAAGACTTTTGAGTTTGGACTAGATGCATATTGCATTATGATATGGCCACAGGCCTATGCAGGCCAGGGAAGGGAAAGTGAATGTTTGAATGAGAATGGCCTCTATAGGTACTTGGTCTCTGGCTGGTGTCTGTTTGTGGAGGATTAGGAGGTGTGCCCTTGCTAGAGTAAGTATGTCACTAGGGGTGGGCTTGGAGGTTTTAAAAGATTCATTCCTTTTAGTTAGCTCTCATGGCCTCGTACTTGGGGATCAATATGTAAACTATCAGCTGTTGCTACCACCATGCATAACATCACGGACTCTAACCTTCTGAAACTATAAGCCCATTTAAATGCTTTCCATTCTAAGTTACCTTGGTTACGGCGATTAATCAGAGCAATAGAAAAGTAAGACACTGTCTATCATCTATCTATCTACCTATCTATCCTCTATCTGTCTATCTATCTATCTAATCCATTGGCATTCATAAATTTTGCATTTAAGTCAGATGGACTCCAGAAATAATAATAATAATACATATGCATGCCACATATACATGTAATAATAATTATTACATGTATATGTAATACATATACACCACCACCCGGTGACGACATAATAATAATTATTACATGTATATGTGGCATGCATGTATCTGTATTTTCGCATGTATATGGGTACGAGTCTGTGCATGTGTGCTGCTATGTGTCAAAACCAGAGGCTGACTAACAACAGGTATCTTTTGTTGTTGTTGTTTTTTGTTTTGTTTTGTTTTTTCGAGACAGGGTTTCTCTGTGTAGCTTTGATAGCCTTTCCTGGAACTCATTCTGTAGCCCAGGCTGGCCTTGAACTCACAGGCCTGCCTCTGCCTTCCGAGTGTTGGGATTAAAGGCATGTGCCACCACCACCTGGCGACAACAGGTATCTTGATCATGAGACTCTCTACTTTATTTACTGAGATGGACCTTTTGGTAGACCAGGAGCTTACAGATTATCTCATTTAGCTAGCCAGATTGCTCTGAGGATACCCTGTTTCTGTGTCCATAGTGATAGGATTACAGGAAGGCTACCATGTTTGCTTGGCTTTCAGGTATGATCTGAATTCTGGTCTCCTTAGTCTCATGAATTACTTTTAAATGTAGTATTCCCATCCAAGCATATTGCTTTATTTT